TTCTAACCATAATATGAAGTTAAGAAATCACATCCTTCATGACACACAAAAAGCAAATCAAATCACTAACAATCTAAATAACTGCTAATCATCAATCAAACCGATCAATTCATGCTAAAGCAAACACAATACAACACTAATAATCATAACTCTTAAGCACACTAAATCAAACCACACTAATAACTATGGGTTGCCTCCCATAAAGCACTTTTAAGAGGATTCCACACAAACCACACTTTTAAGAGCACTCCCATAAAACACTGCATCAGCTTGAAAAATGATTCCACCTGGATCAATATTCCATTTAAGTAATCTTTGATCAATTACCCAATCTTTTCGAGATCCAAAGATTCCTACAAAGTCCTCAAATTTAAATTTTTCTTTCAGCTCTTTCTTTTCAAATTGATTCTTATCCTTGCTCTTCATATTTCTTTCTAGATCCAATATTCTTCTAGTGATTTTCTCAATTTTCATATTAATATTATCATTAAATTTTATAAGAAATGAATCTTTATAAGATACTTTATGATCTCCCAAATTTTGGATCGGATTACCTCTAGATAATTCATATTATGGATCAAATTCTTCTAAGTTGCTCTTTTGTTCAGTGTTCTTTCAGTTCTTCCCCTTGGTACTGAGTAAATGGTAAATGTGGTCTTTCTACATTTATCTTAGTTGAGGAAATAAGTTTTTCTAATTTTGTAGGGATTTTTTCCATTTGTCTTTCAATCTTCTTATCCTCATTTCTCAACTCAAAGTTCTTTTGAAACATATCCTCGAATTCTCTTCTAAATATTAGTTCAATAATTTCAAATTGCTCATCATTCATCTCCTTAGGATTTATCTCAGGGTCACTAGGTAAAATCTCTGGGGGTAACTGTCAGTTGCATTAATAATTTGCCCTAGTTGGTTTTCTATATTCCTCAGTGCAACCTCTTGATTTTCTAACTCACTTGTCATTTGAATCACAACCTCTTCTAACATTAATTCCTTTCCCTTGGCGTGTGAGTTGGAGTTAAATTTAGGAGGATTATTAATTGAGTTAATAATCTGCCCAAATTGGTTTTCCATATTCCTTATTGTGATCTCTTGACACTCTAGCTCACTCTCCATTTGAATAATAGCCTCTTATAATAAATCATTCTCCTCATTATGGGGTTTGAAGTTAAAATTATGAGGAAAAGAAAGTTCATTAATATAATAGTCAAGATTATTCCAACTACATTTCTGATTAAATTGATTATCTTCCCAAAATTGGTTTTCTCCTCCAAAATTATTATTTCTATTAAAATTCAAATGATCTTCCTAACCTGGATTGTAATAATCGGAATAAGGATCGTATATCTCATGGCTAGTTTTAAAATAATTAGGCTTAATCAATTTTCTAAATGAATTTTCCTTAATCACTGGGAGACCTTGAGGATAACTCTTTATGTATTGATTTAACTTCCTCCCAATATCTGCAACCTGATAAATTAAAATAGTAAGCATATATTCCTGAAATTTTGTCACTCTATTGGGGTTTACTCTTTCAAAGCAACTAGCATTATAATTCAAATTTGAATATTCATTATATTGTCGATCCGTCATTTTTACAATAAATTTATGGAGTCTTTTTTGATTCATCATCTTCCTAAAAGTTATCTCTAAATCAGAGTTGTAAAATCCAAGGTCTGCAACTCCTGAACTACGCATATAAATTTAAAGACGTAACTAATAGGATAGACATCAAAAATATTTTTGGTATTTTGGATTTTTCACACACAATATAATAATATTATAAATCACAAATCTAGGTCTTACAAGTTTAACTAAATTTCTCCTAAAGCTCTTACCGAAGCTTCCCCGAGAACGACACAAAAAACTTGATGCGCCCCTAGCGTGTGTTGTTTTTTTGCGTGTTTTATGTCAATTTAAATCCACAGTAACAATGCTAAGAACTTGACCGGTCCCGAAATTACGCAGTAGTTTAACTTTTCAGCTTTCAAAAATATGACCAAAATCTTGACCCAATTTATATTAAGTATTTAAGGTGCAAAATAGAAATGTTATATAAAATAGTTCACACACTAGGAGTTCTACGCAAGTGCACATATCACTTCAAATAATATAAGGCTTTCTTTAAAGACCCCAGTATCGATCCCACAAAGAAGCGAGGTAAGAAATCCTTTAGGCTAATTCTAGTCTACTACTATAAGCAATTAGTTTAGAAGGTTGATTAAAGTGATTTTAATGCATGCTAACAAAATTAAGTTTACTAAATTAATTTTTAAAATTTAAAGTTAAATTTCCTAAGACTAAAAAAAATTTTCTGACGAAAAGTTCAAATTTAAGAAAGTATCCTTCCCACTACAATGAATTTTTGGTTAATGATAGAGATAAATGGTTTGAATTTGTATTGTGCCAAATAAGAACAAATTTAATTCTCTACCCTGATTCAGTGTTATAGAGAATCATTGGCTAATCTCAGGTTTTTTCCCTAAATCCATGGTTAGGCTAGGATAATACCGACTCTCAATCCAAAGCTCCCACTTCCCTTCCCCTAAAAGCTAACACTCGCTTTAGTTCTTAAACACTAAAACCAAATTGGGGATTTTAGTCTGTCACCCCAAAATCTTCTATTCTACACCCAACAATGTATATTTCCCTATTTATTTGCACCTAATTCTATGAACGAAACACTCTTCCATAGAATTAAATGCGATTCTCACTCTGTTGTAGAACTCATACTCAATTTACAAGATTATATATTTCATAACAGATTTTAACATTTCATTTGGCCAGATCGAAAAGTAAATTAAGAAAGAAAGCGAAAAAATCATCACAATTTATTTTATATTTTAAAATGACACATCTAAATTATCTCTTCATTTCATCATATCTTAAAGTACAGAGAAAGATAATGAAATCTACTTAGAACTCATGAGGAAGATACGACAAAACACAGATTATATGTATAAAAATAAGTTTACAAAATAAATAAATGAAAGAACACAACTTATCTTAGACTCCTCCTCAAGTAAATCTCTCGAGACATGCCAAGTGCGTTTTCAAAACGCCACCGCACCAAATAAGCTGCCCCAAACGGGCCCTAAATCGCTTAAATTCTTCTAGGAGAAGATTCTATATCATATATCAAGTATATTCATAGTCAGCCCTAGCTTTTACACCATCCCCCACCACAACCCCTCCCCCCCACCCACACACACACACACACAAACCCCCACACACGCATGCACATGAGAGGCGCCAAGTCCTCTTTTTTAAAGAGACACAAATTCCCTCTTTTTTCCTAAGAGATGAAACTATTCATCTAAAAGACATGTCTCTTCATTCAAGAGCCTTCTCCAAGTGTCTAGATGCATTGAATCACTTCATGAGGTGTTTGAATCACTTGGGAGGCTTCTAGAACATCAAAATCTGCCAAAAATCGGTCCATAACCGTCCTGGGCGCGGTCGGCGTTGGTCTGGGCACCGTAGGCGCCGGTCTGTAGCAGCTCCACTCACTATTTCGCTCCGTTTGACTCCGTTTTAGCTCCGTTTCGCCCCATTTCAGTTGTGTTTCGTTCCTAACAGATAGACCTACAAAATAAGCATGAAACAATCTTTTTTTAAAGAGTAATTTCATTCAAAAACATGTGAGAATTGTAAATGAGATTAAACATAGAAGAACACATCGAAATGTGACAAGACAAAATTTTCTTTCTTGCTCGTTTTTTCTTTCTTGCTCGTTTTTATTTCAAATTGCACCGTTTTTGCTTTTTTTTCTCCAAAACTCCATTTCTTGTCTCTTAAACCAAAAATATGCAAAATGCCTTCCTCTAAAGTGTAATATCATTAAAAATCATTAAAATTGAGCATAAAATACATGAAAAAATAGTCATTTTTTAGACGTATCAAGTGTATATGTTAAGGACATTATAATGAATAGGGTTTTAACTATCATTATTATTTTTTCGAGGGAGGAGGTATGTATAAGTGGTGATAGGAAATCATACAAAGTAGAGAAGATGAGTGCTTGATCTGTCATTATGCCTTAGTGATGGTAGGATAATCAGTAGCTAGACATGATAGATCACAACAAACTTGAAGGAGGAAGGAGGCTTCTAGAGAGAGTGTGACGACTAATGCAGAAGGATGGTTATAACAACATAGCCATTATAACTCTTAAATTGCATAATGAAGTCTATGATTGAGAAACAAACTAATTTGAAGCATTACAGAATTCATACTTGAACTTTTTCCAAATCTTAATTGCTCAAGTATGAACAAGACTTGAACCAAGCTTGAGTCCACATCGGTCCATATTCAATCCCTTTTCAAAAGCTACATGAATTATTTTTGAACCATACTTAAATCTTATTCGACCTATGCTCGAACCATGACGACTCTTGCTGTAAGAGTTAAAAAAATGGTTTAAATATGGGTTGATGTAGGTTTGAGTATATTTAAATATAGATCAAACATGAACCAAAAATTACTTGAAAAAAGTACTAACAAACTTCGATCAGACGATAATGTAATTAATATTATTTCATTAAACTATATTATCTAATATTATTCAAATTTTATACAATCAATATTCAAACCATATTCAATACTATTCAAACAAGAATCAAATTTTATTCAAATAAAGTTCAATAAAAAATATAAATCAAAGCTTAAGGATTTATAGTTCAAGTTTTATTTGACTTAATATTAATTATTAGATTATAAATAAAGATTTAAAAGAAAAAATAATATAAAAACAAATATTAAAACATATTCCTTTCGAAAACGAGACATTTACATAAATACTATGCAACTAATATTTATTTGACGAATATTATTTATTTATTTTACTTATATACTATTTAATCTTTCACATCACATCAAAAACATATACAATATAAATTTGCATAAATAGCAAAGTAGCACTAGTGAAACTAATTATTTACATAAACAACCTTTTTAATTTTGACATGCAACCCAAAAAAGGGGGGGGGGGGGGGAGCGATTTTCCATCCGGCCGCAAATATATGAACTACGAGGTCGGCTTTCCCGCTCTGCTCCAAAGCCCTAGCTAATCTGGATTCCATCTATTTTGTTCCGCAGCTTCCCTCTTCTTCCCCGATTGCTCTTTTCCATCCAAATCTGGATTCCAATGCACAGATCCGACCAAGATCATGTGGCGACGAAGCGGCCTAGGCGATCGGTTCAATCGAAGCTTTCATTCTGCGCCAGTTCTCCAATCCGCGGATCAAGAGCTGCTGCAGCACCGCTGACGGATGCAGTGGCGGAGGATGGAGGAAGAAATTCAGAGGGGAGAGAGGAGGAGGGTAATAGAAAGAGGAAAGCGAAGTTAAAATCACAGAACAGAAGTCCCGAAGAGGTATCTGAATCCATTGCGTAATGCGATCTTAAGTTTATGATTTTGAAGAAGTTTGGGACGTTTTTTGTCAAAGAATCTCAATTTGTTTATTTAGTTAAAACTCGATGCTGTACAGTTTCACTGTGAATTAAGCATTGTTAGGCCAGCTCCACTATTAAAGAGTATTATTTTATTAAATGAGAGCGGTTGATTTAGTAGATGCCATGATATGCTCGATTCAATTTTGTATTTTTTCTGTAAAAAGTTATGCATAGCAGCTTACCCTTTTGACTGTTAATATTTTGTGCATTGAACAGATCGTAATGTAATGCCTTAGATGATGGGTTAATTGATCTTGTTCTGACCTATTTGATATTTTCATCAGATTTAACAACAAATTAATCACTGATCCCAAATGTTATTTTCCTGCATGTCAGTTCTTTATTATGGTATCAGAGCATTTTTTTTGGTGCCTGATTTTTCTTTTTCTTGTTAATGCCATGGCTAATGAGGATCAAACACCACACAAAGTTCTTTTGCCAACCCCCCTAACAATAATGACATCAACCTTGTTATGGTTCCATCAAACGTATATTATATTCATCATTTGTATCAACCCAGATATACACTCATCCCAGCAAAATTAGACTTTGCGAATTATCTTTCTTTGAGCGGAGCCACGATCCATGCTCTCATGACAGAATAAAATTACATTCATTAATAAAGCCATTCAAACACCATTTTGAAAAATTTGCTGGATATGCAATTTAGAATTGATGCAGTGAGATGATTTTTTTCATGGGTAACTCTCTTTGTAGAGCCTGTTCTTGCCAAAGTGGTAATTTATGCTGTAATATTACAGCAAGCCTTAGAAGTCTTCAAAGATCAATTCTTAAAAAAAAAAAAGAAAAGAAGAAAAGAAAAGAAAAAGAAAAGTGCCCGCACACAGACAATGCACACCTATCAAGTTTAAAAGTCTTCAGCTTTACTTTACTGTGAGAAATTTTTTATGCTTTAACAATATAAAAGTTTTTGGGATGAGTTAGAGACATAAGAACCACCTCTTGCAATCAAATGAAAGCACATCATGATCAGAGAGAAGATCGTTAAATTCAGTTTCTCATGGGGCTCATTAAGATCCATAATATTGTTCTCGCTAGTGTTATGATGACACCATTACCTAAAGTACTTTAGGTCTAGTTTGTCGCCACTCAAGAAAAGTGCAGAAACAAATGATATGGAATCAATAGAGAAATTATCGATCATTGTAAGGGTTGCCAACTAGCCTGAAGTAATGGATACAACTAACATCCATGGGTTGGCATTGCATGGAGATGCCCCATCTACAACTCCTGATAGGCATGTTGGAATGCTACATCTGTGTTATGATATTGGGGATAATCAGGACATCGAGGGGTCATCCTAAATGGCATCAAAGACTCTAAATGAACCAGGACATCGAGGGATAATCAATACAACTCCTGATAGGCATGAACTTAAAGGAGACATGGAAGCACAGAAGCCTACTGGTGATAGGGATTTTGGACCTCGGGTCCCAATCTCATTATGTAAGCCCCATCTTTCCCACTCTAAGAAACCAATAATCGAGGTTGGAGATACACCCAAGATTGACTCCGCGATTGTAGTCACACCCACTGATGGTAAAAGCGATTCAAATGCTCTTGGCTATACCATTAGTGAAAGTCGAGTTAAAGTGGATTTAGATGTTGTTGCAATTGACAGGGCTAGGCCTTTCATTCTTTTGACTAGTAACATCCCTTCATGGGATAGAGATATTTTTATATGAACTGAGCCAGTTGGGAACTTTATTCACAGAAGCTTCATCTCCAAAGCTCTCTTTGATTAAGAGCTCATACAACTAGGTCCCATAGGGACATTATCATGCAAGAGGAAGAGAAACATGATTTATTGGGCTGCGAGGAAGTGCCCCCCTTCGATCTCTGATGATTTCTCTTATTGCTTGAGTCCCTATTGCTATGGATGCGATAATAGTTGAGATCCCGACACAAGCATTTATGAACTTAATGCAGGAACATTGGGTCCTTGTGAGAGCATTACCAGATGGTCACTTGGAGTAGGCTATTTCGATGCAGGAGCAGTTCTGCCACTTAGTTTCTTTTTGAGTTTATGTATTAGTGCTTCACTTGTGAGTCCAAGTTTGGGTTCATGTACTGGAGGGCCATACTCCACTTTTGTTTTCTTTGATCTTTTATTTTATCTTATACTTATATGCTTTTAAATTTTAGTGTAATCTGCAAACTTTCTGTTAAGTGAGATGAGTGAACTAAAATAATATTAAATTTTTTAAAAATTTAATCTATTTTGTATATTTTTGCACAATGGATAAAAATGATTCATGTAGCCGACCAAACTTAGTGGGATAAAGGCTAGTTACTGTTGTTGTTGTCGTTATGAACTAGTGTATTTTTTATTTGTGGTGTAATTAAAGTTGGATACTTAATAAAATAATTGATTATTGAGGTTTTAAGATTGTTTGATATATATTGTACTTCATTTAATTGAGTATATGACCAGCATTCAAGCTAAAATATATAGTAATTAATAATATTAGAGAAATGTCTGTCAGCAAGTGTCTTGATTGAGATAAGAATCTACTTAATTTAAACTTGCAATTATTTAATACAGTCTTATTGTTTTGGGTTACATAGAAATATAATGAATTAATAATTAAAATCGAACCTTCTAAGTTATCAAAAAAATATTAGAAGAGACCTAGCTCTTATTGATAGTTACATCGAGTGTGTGTTAGATCAATATATGAAATAAAGTATAAAAAGTTTGGCGAATCCATAAATTTAATATTTTTCTCTTAATTTATTAGAAAATCGTAGTATAAAAAAATATTTTATCAATTTAAGATTGAAAATTTTAATTTTTAAAAATTATTAGATAAAAATCAAGTGCGATATGAACTAATATTTGGTAAAAAATCTAGTTTTGATCATTTTGAGAATGATATTCAAATAATCATATATTACTTGAATGAAACGTAAACCTTCATATACAATTATAATGATTTAGTTCTTAGCACCGTTGTCAAAGATCAAAGATTAAAATTTTCATAAGTTAATATTTATTTAATTAGTTAATTTTTAATCCAATTATTTCATAAACTATTTTATTTTGTTATTTTGCTGCTATCCTATTATTGTTTGGCTGCCGTATTGTTGTTATTCTATTTTTAATATATGTCACGACATTGTATAAATTTAATCTTCAATAAATGGTTTACTTTTGCTTGAATTCAATAATCAAATTATTTTAATGTATTTTTGTGTTATTTTTATGATTTAGTATTGTGCATTGTATGCATGGAATAAAAAACATAAACTTAGTACAGTGTGACCTTGAATTAGAAAAGACCTGTGAAAAAATTAGAAAAAGGAAAGAGAGTCAAATTCAGCTCTAAAACATGTTCAATTAGCCCAATGTAGTAGATCAACCTAATCCCGTAAGAGATTATGTCAACCACTTAGTAGATGAGACTTGCCAGAGTATCAATAGACCCACTATTTATGCTAATAATTTTGAGCTTAAATAAGTTCTTATCGAAATGATTCAAAATTTTCAGTTTGAGGGTTTACTTATAGATGATCCTAATTTGCATATCACCAGTTTCTTAGAGATATGTTGAATTTTTAAGTACAATGAAGACTTTGCTGATGCCATTAGACTTATATTTTTTATATTTTATTTATTTGACAAAGCGAAGTTGTGGTTAAATTCTTTCCTCTAGGCTCAATTACTACTTGTAATGATTTCACATTTTTGGCCAAATATTTGTCTCAATCTAAAACTTTCAAATTTATGAATTATATCGCTTCTTTTACCCAATAAGAAAATGAGTCAACATATCTTGAGAAAATGTTCAGAAATTTATTAAGGAAATGTTATCAACATGCCCTTTCAGATTGATTAATAATATGCTTTTTCGAATTGATTAATAATTCAAACTATTTGTAATGAGTTTGCTGGATCTTTGAGGTTGATAGTAAATGTTGGATCATTAATGTTTAAACCGTTTGATGAGGCATATGTTGTTATAAAAGAAATTACTCAATAACTTTTAATGGCCCTTTGAGCGATAAAATTCTAGGTTAACTAACATTCACATGAGAGATGTCCTATATATCTTGATTTCACAAGTAGCTACTATTTTGAAGAAGTTGGACAATTTAAGATTGATTTAAAGTCAATGATCACCTTTGATTTTTGATGATAGTAGTATTGATAAATCAGATGATCTTTGTCTTTAAAAAGTTAAATCACTAAATTTAGCGAGCAATAGACAAAATAATCTTTTTTCCAATACATTTAACCCAAAATAAAGAAATTACTCAAATTTTAATTGAAATAATAATCAACAAAACCTTGGGATTGAACCCTATCGAAATTTGGAACAATTAATATTATTGATTTTTTAAATGTTTGATCCAATTATTTATTAGGATTCACCTCTCAAAACCAATTTAGAGAGAAATTTTTAAAGACGTGTTGGAAATAAGTGCTCAATTATAAAGTCACACTGCAATATAATGGACACTCTGATTTGGCTTGTAGGGTAATATAAAATTTGATGATTTATAATTTTTTATAATGGACACTCTGATTTTGAATTAAAAAAAGATTTTTTAACTCAGTTTGAGTCCCATGTCTAATGGAAGAAAATGGATTAAAAAATTAATTAATTTTTCTGCTTTAGGCAATGCAAATGCTTGAAGTTATTTCATTTTTGCTAAGTTAATGTCTAGTAGGAATGCAAGTGAGTTAACTAAGGATAGAGCAGTGTTAAATCACGCTTTGCAAGAAGGTATGCCAATAAGTACATGAAAAATCATCTAGAGGTCGATACTAAACATGATTATGGGTAGCACAATGGTAGGTTTTAGGCATTCTTCTCTTATCTATAAGTTGTGTGTCCAAACAAGTGCACTAGGAGATCCGTTAGAGGATTAAAATTTTCCTAGTTTTGCTCCGAT